GTGGGATCAGTGTTTCTAATGAGGTTATAAAAGCAAATTCAAATATGATGTTTCTCATTTAGCCGAGATAAAATATATACAGTTTAAGGGTATCACTCACACATTCTTTAAAAAATTATTGAATGCCAAACGAGACAAGCAATAAATCAGAAGGAGGGGTCTAGAGTCAAGGTAACTGGTGGGTGTTCTGGTTTTCTGCTTACGAGAATGTGATCTCAGTAATTTGCTCCTAAGTTTCTTTTTTGTTTATATTAAATAATTAACATAAATAAAACATTTAGAAGAGGATATAGCAAGAAGGAAAGCTGTTAGCATGGCATGTTATGGATGAAGGATGGAAGCTAAACGAAATAGATGTGGTTATCTACCCCCATGAAGAAGAAAACTAGTGGGAGAAGTCATTTAATAAGTAAATACATAAACTTTTGGGGAGGTGTTTGAGACAGGGTCTCACTGTGTAGTTGAGACTGACCTGCAACTCACTATGTAGTCCAGGCTGGTCTCGAACTCACAGCGATCCTCCTGTCTCAGCCTCCCCAGTGCTGGGATTACAGGCGTGAGCCACCACGCCTGGCCCTAAAAGTCTCGAACTCACCGCGATTCCTGTCTCAGCCTCCCCAGTGCTGGGATTACAGGCGTGAGCCACCACGCCTGGCCCTAAATAAACTTTTAAACTACAGTTATGTTGTGCTAAGGGAAGACATTGTATATACAATAACACAGATCTAACATCTGTCTGAATGTGTATTATATAATTTCTCTCTAGTATGCGATAACTAAGGAAAGACACACTGCATGTTGCTACTTTCAAAACCTTTGATATTCCTATGGTAAATTATACTCTCGTAAGTGAACAGAAAGTGGAATTTCCTAACAGGAACATTATTTTGAGCAGGCATGGTTGGAATCATTTACTATTCCATTTTTCTTCTCATTTTTAAATGACCACTTAAACATTTCAAAGCAATCCTAATTTTATTTTGTTAATTCCTTAAAGCACAAATCCCTGTGATGCTCCAGGGACCTTTGGATAACAAGCACTTCTGGGAAGAAATGAAAAGACCAACTGCCAGTGTTTGTTGAAGAGGGGTTCAGTTTTTCCTCACGTGATGCAACAGATGGCCTTGACAGACTGCTGGGTGGGAAGGAAGAAACCTCCACCTCCATCTACTCAGCTGCTGTTGTCTCCTCCTACCATGCCACGTCACACTTACATATTCATGTCTTTTCTTCTAAACCCTCAGCCATCTAGAAATGGGCTGATTTGAATAAACTATGAAAATAGTAACCAAATACAGACAAAACTCACTTTGTTATACATTGTTGCACTCTATAGATTTTGCATTTTTAAAAAACAAATTGAAAGTTTCTGTAAATCTAGATCTATTGGTGTAATTTTTCAACACAATATATGACCTTTAGCACGTTTTTACAATAAAGCATTTCAATTAAGGTGTTACACTGTTTTGATACTCTATTATAAAGTTAATAGACTATAGTATAAACTTCTATATGCATATAGAAACAATAAAAATGATTTGCTTTATGTGAATATGCTTGCTAAAGCCTGGAACTGAACATGTAGAATCTCTTGAAGTATGCCTGTACTTTTAAATACAATTGGCATTTTGGGACTGTTATGGCTTCTATCTAGATGTCCCCCCCAAAGCCCCAAGTACTCATAGGTGGGGATTTGCGGAGGTGACTGGATCACGGGAATGTGATACTGGGTTAGTCCACTGATGTTTTTACAGTGGGGTGTCATGTTGGGTGTGAAGCCTGGTAGATGAGTCACTATGGGTATGACCTGGAGGGTATATATCCCTCATCCTCTCTGGACACGTGTGCTGCATCCTGTCTGCCTTGCCATGGACTGTTTCTCCACATGCCATCTTGCCTTGGAGCTTTATGGACTAAAACCTATACAAACTATGAGCTAAAATAAATCTTTCCTCCTGTAACTTGTGGGCATCAAGTGTTTTGTCCCAGCAGCAAGAAAGTAACTAAAACAGGCCCCAATGTAGGTATTAAATATGTTGAATACACAAATTTTAAATGCATAATGAAGCCTTATTCTTCAGATAGTTCATCTAGCCAAGAATTTAAGAGAAAGCTGTCAAAGTCAAACTAATTGCCCAGATTCCTTTAAAAAAATAATTTAGGATTCTCAAAATCAAGACTGGATAGAGTCAAAGGTTCCAGGATTACAAAAGCTTTATTTCCTTTATGTTTAGCACTCGAATTGTATTATCTTTTTTAGATAAGGTTTTGGAGGACTCTTCTAAAATAGAGGCAGCCAAATATCTTATTTTTTTTTGCATTACATGTACGTATGAATAGGAAACTTGGGACTCATCCTTTAAATACGAAGACACCTAAGCAGTGGCTGCCTGCACCCGGCAAGATGCAGCGCAGGACTGCTGTGGTTATATAGTAAAGTGCTAAAGCATTTCCATGGTGTGGTACTTGAGTGCACTAAAAATAGGCAACCCTGAACTATACTGCAGTTGAAGGACAAGATAAAAATAGGAAATAAATACGAAAAATAACTGTATAAATAGAGTACTAGGATTAACAAGTCAACCCACAGGACTGGATTCACTAATAACATTGGTTATTTTTATTGAGTACAGGAAATAGGATATTACTTAAATATTTAAATGCTTGTCACAGAGCTGTATTTTGAAGAACAATATTTAAAGTGATAATTTATAATTTGGAATAAAGTTTAATTTTTTTTAGCTGAGCCATCCCTTTATATTTCTGAATCATAGTCTTTACACACACACACACACACACACACTCTTTGGATAGTATCTGCCAGCTCTCTCACACACATGCACACACATACACACACACACACACACACACGCACACAATAATTTTTCAGATGTAGCTAAACTACTTTATTTGGAGTGTCAATGAAATGATTTGGAGTGTCATAGCATTGGTCTTATATTCAATTTGTAATAAAAAGCACTAGTAAGAGCCCAAGAAATGAAGGCATTCCATATGATTTAGCATAACTTTTGCCAGTACAGACAGTATTGAATGGTTTAAAATTCTTCGTATCTTAAAAAAAAGAAACAAAACTATATTTACAAGGCTGTCTTCAAGATTTCGGAGATGAGAAACCTATCTTGGATTATTAACTTTTGGCCCTATATTTTGGTCTTCTCTTGTTTTTGCCTCCTGTTTTCTCACCAAGAATACTATGAATTCCAATTCTTCTTCTCTTTTTCCCTTTCTCTACAACACCACTGCCCAGTTCTTGTTATTTTTGAGGTGTTTCTGTGCTGACCCATGACTCTGGCTTGCTCCTGTTGACTGTTGGATGGAAGTCTCTCATATCAATATATTACCAGTGTTGAGCACCACTTAGCACGCTATTCTGTAGTTATACACAAGTCTACATGTACAGTTTTGTAGATTTCACTTATGCATAAGCAACGTTCGAGGTTATGTGAAAGGACATTTGATTTACCAGACATTAAAAATGATGACAGTTCCTATTCCAACAGTCAGTTCCCAGTTTCACATTTTTGAAAACACGTGCTATTTTGAAATTCATATTTTTTCTAGTTTGTTTTATCTTTATGCAGTTTACACTAGTATTTTCCTGATTAATCAATGAAGAATGTTTTTCATGTTTGTTGGCCTTTTGGATTTCCTATCCCCACTTTATAAATCAATCCTTTTATATATATATATATTCCAACAGTCAGTTCCCAGTTTCACATTTTTGAAAACACGTGCTATTTTGAAATTCATATTTTTTCTAGTTTGTTTTATCTTTATGCAGTTTACACTAGTATTTTCCTGATTAATCAATGAAGAATGTTTTTCATGTTTGTTGGCCTTTTGGATTTCCTATCCCCACTTTATAAATCAATCCTTTTATATATATATATATATACTATCTTTTACAACTATCTTTATGTTTTAAACAATTTTTTATATGCTGAGGTCTGAAAGTATGGAATATATTCTCAGCTTTGAAATATTAATTTTAAAAAATAATCTTTAATAGTCTTTAATCCAATTTTAATGCATTTGTTTATGGTTTGAAGTAGGAATCCAAATTTATTTTTTAAGAGGATAATCAATTATATAAGCACATTTTCAAAATTTTTTTCCTTTCTCAATTAGTTTATAATGACAGAATTTAAGTATGCCTGCATGAGGGTTTTATTCCAAGTCTGACTGAAGGAAAACAGCAACAATATTTTGCACTAAAAATGCCCTTGCCATATACCAGGAGCCATGTGAAGAATTTTGTGTGTTTCACCCACAGATTTTGAAGTCATAATGCCTGGGTTTAAATGTACACTAGGAAGCCCTGATAAATGGTAGGCCTACTACATTACTTGTTCATTTACTGGCTGATAGAAATGCATCATTCAGGAGAGGTATACAAATATGTTGAACACAAACCATACTTTAAAAAAACTCCAAATATACAACTTGCTTTTATTAAATAGGAGGGGGGAAAAATCACATTTTTTAAAAAGAGGCAGATAATCCAGTAGCTTCAGGGAAAACCAACATAATGTTAGCTTGTCTGGAGAAATCTTTTAGAATAAATGAGTAATTAAATTCTTGAAGCAGGGAGAGGATACCAACAAGCTCTAGGTTTTGCCAGATTAAATGTTGTATAGCTTAACCATTTACATTTTCCTATAAATGTACAGCATATTAGAATATTAGCATCTGAACAACATCATGTCCATTTTATTATTTTACTTAAATTAAAACAAGGGCTTCTGAAACTTCCAAATAGTATTTAAAGTTTTCCAATATGAATACATATCAACTTATATTCCTCTCTACATATCAAATGTGAAATAATTGTACAGTATATCAGTATTTTTATAGGAATATTTGTAAGGCTTCTGGCACATAAAATAAGCAAAGTTTGTGTGTCAATATCATAATTACATACAGAGAATATTTAAAATTCTCCCTTGTAATTTAAACTCTAAAGATTACAACACCAAGTGTTCATGTTAACAAAGTATTAAAATATGCTTCCTCTAAATTTGACACTGATTTGTAATTATAAAAAGAATGCACAAGATAAGTCTGATATACTAAATGATTCATCAACTGAACTTTAAAACTTAATTTATATCACTAATTCTCTAGATCATTCTTTCAGCACAAAACAGCCTGTAATGCAACATAAATATTTCTAAGAAAACTAACACTGAGGCAGCAAATGTCAGGTCTTTTTGCCTGTTTATGTGTCACACAAATATGTCTATTAATCTTCATTTATACTTTTAAGTCACCATTATAGAGAATATGTCATCAATAAAGGGTAATTATTGCTCATTTTAAAAAAATGAAAGTCATTTATACCTTATGTTAAAGTTCTAAAGCAGCATATTTAAGACAAAAAAGACCCCAAATTATTATAAATTATAAATTCTAATAATTCTTCTTTTGTCATTCCTAGCCATAGCATAAAATCTCATACTTCAATAGATAATATATTAGTGTACATCTGAATATACATTTGCCCACATTCTCCATTGGTGTGAAGCCGGTTCGGGAGGAGGAAGCAGAAAGTGCAGTTCGCCAGGGCAACATCTAACAGCCTTCCTGGGCGTCAGGGGACAGGCAATGGCTGAGTCCTGACCTTCCATTCACAGATATTGTATTTGACGGAACAGTAACCTGAGTGGAACAAACACACTTTGTATCCATCAATGTAAATTGGCACAGCTGCCTACTTTTCAGCAATTATCACATTTTAACTTCATTGTAAATTGTAAATGCTAACATTCAGTATTTCTCATTCAATAAATTACGAATAATCAAGAATAAATGTTCATGCTACCATGAAATGAAAAGTGAGAGAGTTATTTCCACAACAAACAAGTTAAATAATCCATTAACACATCTTAGTCTTTATAAAATTACCAAATCAACATAAAGGACAAGAGCACAAACAGACTGCAGGACAAGCTGTTAAAGAGCATTTTTAGCTAGATTAATTCTGGCTCTCCAAAAGTACTTTTGAAAATGTAAAAAAGTCAACTGAATTTCATAATGCAATGATTTTACCATTTTAATAAATATATATTAATTTCAAAGTTTCCCTCTCACTGATCCTTTATTAAAACAATAGCAATAAATGGCTTTTTAAGATGATTTCATATGAAAAGGTAAAAAAAGTCAAATCCATGGCCATTACGTCAAAATAATTGTGGAATGAAAAGGAGGTTTTGGGCTTTTAACTAATAAATAAACCCTCAAAGTTTTACAGTAATGTCTTCTATTTTCAAATTATCAGTGAATAAAAACACTAAAGAATTTTCTAAATAGCATGAAATTTCATACTTTAAAAAAAGAAAAATCATGTGAATAAAATGTAAATATGAATATTTTGAAATATTAAAGATATAATAAAAATATTTTTTAACTATGTATAATTTGACTAACTTAGGAACAGAAGAAACACTACAATCTTATAAAACAAAAACCAAATTACAAGTGACCACAGGTTTTCTACCAACAAAGTTAGTGAAAAGGAAAATTGGCAAATTTAGTTGAAATTTCATTTTCTTGTGCTTCATTTCTTGCCTTTTACTAAAGGAAAATATAATTATATACAGTAACAAATTTTGTGACCTCATGAATCCAGGATGCAATAGAGTGGCTGAAGCTACACACCTGAAATAGAATGGCTAAGAAGCATGGCCGCTAGGGGAAGGGAACTCACGGCCACTCTGTTTATTATCCATGTGGGATTCCTTTCAGAGTGCAGCCGACAAAGGCCAGGTAATGACTTTTCATGGTAGGACCCTGTCAAAAGCCTCTGTGTGTACAATTATTTTTTGTACTTGATGTCCAAATTTTAGTTCTCAAATCTTTGTAAAGAAAAAATTTATTTTATGCACCTAAAAAAAAAAAAACCAAAAACCTGATGGCTCTAAATATCTACAAGTCAAACACAGTTGTCGTGGCATCATATAAATGATGAGTTCAGTTATAAGTTACATCACAGTTAAATACTATGTAATTGTAAAAAGGATAGTGTAGATATGTAGGTCATAAGACAGGATGCTTCAAAGAGATAGATGTTTATGAACGATTTACAGAGGGTTCCATTTTTATAAGCTAAATATCTTTACATATTTTAAAAGTGGTCTGGAAATTTACACAGCACTGTATCAAGAGCAGTTACTTTGGGAGGACAACAGCATTTCCTTTGATTAAGAAAGGAAATTTGCTTATTAAAAACTTGCTCACTAAACTTTGAAATAAGAGATGGCATTATTAGAATATTATTGTATAAATTCTGACAGATCAAGTTCATTTTGGTGGCACTTTATATTAATATTTATTTCAATGCTTGGCACAGTGAAGTCTTTAATGAATATTTCTTGAATGAGATATGCTAACTTTACACAAACATTTTGAAAACAGAAACATACTGTTTCAATTTTTTGAACAAGGCACATATTGTACTACTCACAAAGATACTTTTTAAAAACAATGTTTAAGAACTTTAACACTGTGAGTATCTACTAGTTGACCATCTGTCCTTGAGGTTTAAAGAGTTTTCAATAATATTCATAACACTTTCTTAATTATAGAACAGAACTATGAAACTTTTCACCATTTGTATTTCAAAAACACACACAATTGTCAACCTCAAACCTGTTGTTCAAAGAAAGTATAAATAAAAAAGAGGACCAATGAACAAACAAAACAAGCCAGCAAAATTCTGGGTTACTTGTTCAGGTTTTGTTTTTCCTCTAGGATTCTATCTAACTAGATAAATTTTGCATTTAAAGGAGATACTTACATTATGACAGATAGAATAGTTTGTAAAAATAAAATCTGAAAATAAACTGATGAATGAGATTTTTGTATTTGATATTAAGTACAAATACCATGTTATGTTAGCCACCTGATCATCACTTACTGGTTAAGTTGGGTCTCTATTAACACTTCCAAATAACCTTGAAAAATGTGCTCATTTATTTTACAACAAGGATTAGGATTAGAAGTCCCATTTGACTCAGCTATTCCCCTGGTTGATATCTTTCCAAAAGAATTAAAAGAATCATACCACAGTGATGTATGTGCACCCATGATTATAGCGGCACAGTTTGTAATAGCTGAAACTTGGAAACAGCCCAATTGCCCACCAGTTGGAAACTGGATAAAGAAGGTGTGGTTTTTCTATAAGATGGAATATTATTCAGCCATAAAGAATGAGAATTAGAGTCATTCATATGAAAATGGATGCATAGTGAGGCCATACTCCTAAGTGAAATAAATAAGACACACATGTGTAAATACTGAATAGTTTCCTGGTGTGAAAAAATAAAAGCATAAATAAGATCCAAATTATATAACTGACAATGTGAAATAGGAAGAAAAGGGCTAAAGGTGTAGGGGAAGTGGGAAGGGTAGGGGAAAGGAAATAAGGGAAAAGAAAAAATATGAGAAAATGAAAAAAATTGAAATAAAGTCTTTGTAAATAGGGAAGGGAGGAGCAGGTGAAGGGAGGTCAGGGTATGGGGAAAAAAAGGAGAACCAAGACCTGTCCTGTAAAGGTACAAGATCCCAAAGATGAATGTAACTGTACTGTATACCTAAAATGTACCATAAACTCAATGAGAAAAAAAAATGGCATGCTCATGACTACGCTTCCACTACACCAATCAACTAAACAACTGTTCTAATGTGAGCCAGCCACTACAGTGAAGGTTAACTTCCTGGGTATGAGCCAGAGCCTTAGGCAGGTTGGTACCTGGAGTTAAAATGAACATTCAGATGCCAAGATACAGACAAAACACAGAACCAACTTTCCGATGAACAATCTAAACCTGCTGTCAAAATCACTGGAGAATTTATTTGTCAATATAATTATTGTTCTACACAAGAAATGTCAAGATTTAAAAGAAACTAGGAAAAATCTTCAGTACAGGACACAAATGTGGCACTAAAACAAGATCCAAAGAAATTAAGAACCTGCCTCTATTTCTCTAGTTTTTGCAATTTTTGGAGCAGAATGTACATATAGAAAAGTACACTGAGCACTAATATACAGCCTGGTGAAAGCAAACAAAAATAGATAATAACCCACTACCCGGGTCAACCCCCTACTAAATTTCTCTTTAAATTTTTATATTTTATACAGAATTTTATTATTTTATACATTAAAATAACATACTTACTTTTAAGAAAAATCTCCCCTTAAATTGTGTGCCTGTCCTACCCCAGTAAGTCCTCAACAACTTTCTCTCTCTTTCGTTTCCCTTTTCCCCTTCCTTCCTTCCTTCCTTCCTTCCTTCCTTCCTTCCTTCCTTCCTTCCTTCCTTCCTCCCTTCCCTTTCTTCCTTCCTTTTCTCTTTCTGGAGGAACCCATAACCCTAATTTTTAGAATTACTATCTTGTTTTAATTTTTTTATTAGTTCAGGATATACTTGGGTCTGGGGCTTGGCCATGGGGCCTCACTCATGCCAAGCATAAGCACCACCATGGAGCTACATGCCAGGCTCATATGCTTGCTTCAGAAGTAATCGGTGACTATGCCTCCATCACTAATAGGAAGCAGTTATTTTTTATGCTTTTAACTACGCTGTCATATTTAGCTGTATTCTGTTCATTTTATTGTTGCACAGTGGTCTATTCCTTGAATATAATACTACTATTATTTTGGGATCTTAGGGTTACATTTATCTGCAGCTATTACAAATATTTCACAAACATAGCTAACTCACAGCAACTAAAATCACAATTTTTAGGGTATATAACTAGATGCAAAAATGCTGGTCATGGAGTGTGGACAATTTGAACATTACTAGATCCTACGTCTGTTTTTAGTGAAATAAAATGAATATGTATAAAACGTTCATTTAAAAAATTAGAAGCTGGCACCCTACAGACTCAGAGCTATCAAATAAGCTCCTACGCAAAAAGATAAAATTTTATACTCAAGAGTCTAAAGTCATGAAATTTAAATAGCATACAATTATGGGATGATCATTTAGGCCTCCTTTTCGTGTTGATTCACCTCAGCTCATTCCGAAGGCAATGGGAGTTTTATGTGTGAAAGGACTGCCGAGTCAGACCCAGTAGGACACCAAGTGTACTGTTGCTGGCTTGTACAACTGTGCTGCCCTAAAGGGTATTTCCAGCTTAACACACAGTGCTCTGCAGTTAGTTCACTGAAACTGAGTAATAACACAGACTTAGTAGTAGGCACTGCAATCAACTTTCTATGTAGCCACTTGGCTCTCCTGTGGGTCTGATGTGCCACTATTTTTCAGGCTGGGGCTATGAGTGCACAGAAGGCAGAGGCTTCATTTTATTCCTTTTTATACCCACAGTAGCAAGTGAAATATTTGATACTTCTGGGCTTAAAATTACTTGGCAAACTTTTTGAGTTGCTAAAGATTTAGATTGGTAGTGCCTGGATTGGAACTTACCTTTAGCTTAGAAGATCAGAAGTAGAAAATTTTTCATGAGAACGTGCAATTTATTAACATCGGTATATTTTCCCCACAAAAATGTAAACTTGTCATGATCTGTGATATACCAATTTCAATATGTATTTAAAGCTATACTAAAGTTTTAAGCTGCCTGCACTTAAATGAAGATGCTACATTTGAAAAATTCAAACCTGATCTCACTTATTCATTCACCCTTGAAAGCACTCGATATTCTGCCTGCTGTCTGTTTGCCCCGAAGAGAGCGCAAAATCTTGGAGAGAAGATGATCGTCACTCACTGCTCTGCACAAACACAAGGAGAAAACTGAGCTTGACCAGCTGAGTTGGCAAATGCTGATGTGACTGAAAGGATGCATTTCTGTCTTTTTTTCTTCTATGTTTGCAAAATTTCTATTCCAGTGTAGATTTAATTTCTGTTGAACTCAATATTTGTTCCACAAGTTTCTCAGCTCTTCTTTAAATAGCTACTAAAATGACTAGAGGAAGAACTCACAAGATGAAGTGCCCAGGGAGTCGGTAGAATGATGAGTACTTCTGAGTTTTCAGTATTGCAGTACTTCTACTAGGATGGCCAGTGGGAATGGGAAGAAGTTTGGGGAGACGTCTGCCTCAGGGAAGCACTGCGGCCGTGCTGCCCCTGCCGCGGCCGGTGCTGCTCAGAGCTGTTCTCTTTCAGGCAATGAAGGGGCAGAGGGAAGAATTCGCCTGCAAAAGTTCCCTGTGACCCTCGTTGAATGTTCAACCAGAAGAAAAGGAAACCTCTGCTCTCTTCTCTTGATGCTCTTCTACAACACAGTGGGGAGGACTTGGATAACTTTGTTTCTATATTAGGTCTCTACATTCTCCAGATTTTTCTGTACTTTTTTTTTTTAATTAAAGCTATGAAACTCTCCCTAATGCCTCACATAATGATAGTTACTTTGGTCCCAGAGGAGTCATGTCTGAAAACTTACATGCTGCCATAACTAAAAGTTCTTTCCTGGAATAAAGATGAATTTTCTTTGGTGTGCTATCAGAAATTCTTAAGAGTCCAGAACATGGTCCATTTATAGTTATACAGTAATGAACCAAAGTCATGTTCAATACCTAGTCTATATTGTGAAAAACACCTGATATATTTTTAAGTATGTCTAAGATTCCGAACTCTCTCATTTATGTTTTAAAAATGACTCCTGACATAGAAGAGTAACGCCTGGTATCTTCCTTATTTATATTTAAATGGTAGAAAAAAAATTTCCCTTAAGTATTAGGCCCTTGAAAATAAACCCACTGTCACCCATCTGATAAAAAACTTACTCTTTTTAGTTTGGCAGCAGCCTCTCCAGAACGGATGGCAGTCAGCAAACTCTGTCGGATCTGCTCTGGATCAGAGCTTTGGAATGCTAAGGAACTTTGTTTCTTAAGGGTGAATGATGGGCAGTCAGTTGGAGTTGGCATTTGAGAATTCTGTTCATTATGTGCAGAGCTATTTTGCTACAAAAATAAACATGAAATATTTATATGAATTCCACAAGAAGAATGGACCATTTTTTGCAAAACATTTTCATCATCAATAGTTCTTTAAGAATCAGCATTTGCCACACTGGTGATTTAGACACAGCTATGTCCTCACTCATCGAATTACCCATGCTGCCAGAGCTGAGCTGGAAGATAGGACACACTACCTTCCTTTCTCTTGAGCTTAGGGAGGCTAACAAGAAAAGGCCGTACCTCATTTTGTTTCAAGAGTACAGTGGTAATTTTACTGCACTTGAGTCAAATAATACTGACTTGGAAAATACATGGAGTTGGCTAGACGAGCCAAATTAATAATTCAAAAATTCCACAAACTGAAAAGTAATTCATTTTCTTGGTTCCAATATATTATATTGGGAAATGACTATTTTTGAATGCACAAGACAGTCAAATATGGACAGTTTTATATTGGTTGCATCTAATGTGTCTTCTAATAAAAGAGTGTTTATTACTTTTCTACACTTAAAAGCTTAGGTTGGGTTTATGGAAGTCACAGGGACTATACGCTGACCATGTTTTATTTTCCCTGTGAGGCTAAATAATAAATACTAGGAACTTCTAAATTGAAGAATCAAAAACTGAAACTTTACAAGGAGGAAGATTTAATAACTGACAACTGGCAGAGATTATATCAAGTAATCTAAAAAATTTCTCAAACTGCCAAGTACACATCTTATAAAAAATAAACTAAAAAAAGACTCAAGCAGTAACTCAAAACTGTATTATTCCATTGTTTAGGAACAATATTCCACTTCAAGAACAAAATGCAGGCTTTATTCCCAAATCAATAATTAATCTCTATATCATGCATCACTCCCTGATGCTATACCAAAATAGTAAACATAAATGTAAAATATATGGAAGACATTCAAGATGAATATTGCTTTAAAATTATAAAAAATATTTACTTGGCAGTATAGTGAATGTTCTTTTACACTAGGAATGCCTGAAGAAATAGTATAAAATATTTCTGGAACTGTCACACAATGTGAAAGTATTCTTCAAACACTACCAGAACAAAAGTACACATAGTATTTCTTAAAAAGTGCAAGTGGATTAGTGTAATTCATGCCATGAATTCCATCCTCTTCTTTGACTATGTTACTGAATCTGGCATAATACAACACAAATTACCAAGTCAATAGCACATAAATTATTAAGGTTAGATAGTAGTTAGATGATGATCTGGTAAACACACAAATAACCGGAAGTAATGACATTAACAAATAAGGAATTAAGACTACTTTCAATTTAAATTAGTTACATGTAACGAATACTAAACTGGGGTTGAATGTATATAGTGGAAAATGCATAGGAATGTTTGAAAACTTCAGTCTTTCATACTCCTTCTGTTCCATATAATGAAAACTATTTTGCCATTATGTAGTACTATAAAATTGGAGGAGAAATTAAAAGTAAACCAGAACATCCCAAAAGTTAAGAACGAATCAGCAAGCTCCAGGAAAATAGTTACAACTCTAAACTTGAAAACTATAGAAATGTGTGAAAAGTGAACCTTTAAAGCATTTGATAATTATACAAATGACCTTATAGCAATAATTAATCAAGTGATCTGAATTATAATTTTTAGAGATTCTGCATGTTCCTGATTCTTTGCCTGTAACAGCATGATGTCCTGTTAATATGAATTCTATCATTAACACATGAACCCACCACCAACATACTGTTTTTCCTTCTTTTAACCAGGTTGCATCGGAGTACTTTTTAAAAAGGTACATTTACCTTCTCTGTCACATCAAGGTGTGGGGTGTCAGAAAACTTATTTATAGAGCAGGTCTTCTCGTCTTCTGTGCTGGCTGGAGGCTGGGCAGAGCCAGCCTCACTGGAGGACTCCGTGCGCACCCTACTGAAAGACTGTGACCTTTTCACTACAGCGAGGGCAAACGGTGAAGGAGCAGAACTGGAGAATGGTCGGGGGGCACCAAAAGCTTTCAAAGTCTTCAGATTTACTGCTGCTGGCTGAGTAGTGGGAAGAGGCACAGGCTTGGGAGCTATGGGTGGAGGAGCAGGCTTCTGGGTGATGATGGTGTCATGAGCGTTTTTAATGTGGGGCTGTGGAGTACAGGGAGTTGTTTCACTTAAGGGGGAAAGGGGCTGCTCTGGAGAAGGCAGTGTGTCCCTTTCCACGTCTTTATTTGGGAGCTCTTTCGTCGTAGAATTAGGTGCAGCGTGTGTGTTCTTGGCAGCTGCAGATGTGACATAGTGCCCTGTTGCTCTCTTCTGCATCTGCAAGAAAAAAGAATTTGGTTTGGCCTGGGGATTTGAAGCCCGAGATTTTATTTTTGACTCCAAAATATTGTTTATGTCTTCCAAAGTTGGTGCAAATGGAGGCACACCAGCGTCTCCAGTTATTCTGGGAGGTTTCAAAGGATGAGTCACAGCACCATCGGGAAAGCTCATAGCCCTGTGCAACTGATGCTGTGTTCTCAAGTTGCGCTTGGGTTTGAGATCTTGCTCGGGCTTCACTGGGCCTTCAGAAGTAGCAGTGTTTTCTGTTTGTATGGAAGTTTCTTTCACATTCTCAGAAGTGTTCTTTTCCCCTAAAGTATTTATCTTTAGATTATCTTTAAACACTATGGTTTCTGATTCCCAGTCTTTTTGTATTTCCAGAGATTTGGGAGGCACTATTTTATAAGTTGTCATTCCGATTTTGGGTATATACTCTCTTGTAATTTCATTGGAAGGTTTTGGTTTGGGATTGTAGTCCTGTCTGTAAAGCGGAGCATTCTTTAGGTAAGAAATGGCTGAATTTTTATCCATATCTACAGGAGATGAAAGATCATCATTACCATAGGCATAAACTGAATCTTTCCTGGCAGGTTTATCTTCTGGATGTAAAAGTAGGGAGCCCTGGCTCCTTAATCTGCTTGAGGCATCTACAGAATCTTGTAGACTTAATGCTGAGTGCTGAGTTGATTTGTTATTTGAAGTTTGTACACTTTCATCAGGCAAATGATGTCCTTGGTGATTCCCACCAAAGCTGTTACAGGAAGGGGTGGCCTGAATTGCTGCATCTTGCATTTTTGTCTTTTCTGCTCTGGGTTGATTCAGTTTTTGATCCGGCACTGATGCTACCGCTTGAAGATTTTCCTTGGAACTCACAAAACATTCAGATTCGCGTGCTTGACATTTTGAAGGTTTGTCAGCTCCCATGTTCATGTCCTTCCTTTCGGCTTCATCTTCTACACAGATTTCTGTTTTTCTCACACTATTTTTCATTGTATCTTCTGTTTTTGTTTCAAGGACACTGGTTTCATTTTGAACTATTGAGAGAAGAAACATTATTAGTATATTTTAAAAAGTAACTCGGGAGGCTGAGGCAGGAGGATTGCTGTGAGTTTGAGACCAGCCTGGGCTGCATAGTGAGTTCTAGGTCCGTCTCAACTACATAGTGAGACCCTGTCTCCAAAAAGCCAAAA